AGGAGCTGCTTTGAAATTAGGAGCATAACTGTTGTAGTCTTGTGGCCTAGGGCCTGCTTACCTCCAAAACCGAGGGTCCTTGCTCTCTGAGCCTGAGGCTGAATGTCTGGAGTTCATCAGAACTTCTACTCTGGATAACAGATAGTTCATTCCAGCCAAGTCTGCCACAGCCTCAAGACAGTCTCCTATTCAGGACTGGTGAGCAAGCCCACTAATCCCCCGGCCTCAAAATTGAGCTCTGCCGTGTACAGGTTTTCAAGAAGCAGGACTTCCTGGATGGTGTAACTTGTCCAAAATGGGGCATCTAAGAGCAAAACCAATGAAGGCAGCCTTCCAGAGGTTCCTAAACAATCCCAGTACCCAGTGGTGCCATTGGCCTGGGCAGTGTTCCTGTGGTTCTGGAATGGCTGATGAAAGGGCTCCTACACATCTTTCTGGATTGCAGTGGCTTCTGTATGGAGAGCATTCTCCTGTACTTGCAGAGTTGGATCCCATGAGCCCCTGATCTGACAGAGGCATACTTTAGGCTACCTCTAGGCCAGCTGTGAGAAAACTTCTGAAAGTCTAAAGGTAAGAGTAACAGTTCCCATCATCTGTCTCACCAGGGCAAAGTGATTTTGGGCAGACAATATATTTCCATCTCAGATGTCCAGCAGATCCTAGAGTTTATAAGATACAGCTAGTAATCCATCTCCCATTTTCTACTCTGGTCCCCCAAATAATCAAACCAAGGTAAGAAAGAGGAGCATGTCTGATTTATGACTGGAACTATTGCTGATTAATAGCTCTTCTGTCTAGCTTTTGCATTACTTTCATAAAGAAGAGCTCTACACCTTTGAAACAAATGCTTGAAATATTGCAGGGTGGGGGGATTCTAATACAGGAGACCTCATGCACAGATTCTTAAGCTGGTTCTATCCAAGAACAACCACTGTGGGGACATGAGTTCCTGGCCATTGGGGGCTAACTTTGAAGCATGGGGACAACCTGTATTAGGGGCCAGGCTCCTGTTTGGATGGACCCAACTACTGTCATTGAGATCTACTGGGCTAAAATCAGGGAAATAATAATAGTCATGATTTATTGAGCACTTACCTAGTTTATAAGTGCTGGGCTAAGCATTGCACACAAATTACTGTGTCTAGTCACAAAAACTCTGTGAGGTGGTTTCACTGTTATCCCCATTCATGTCAGGATAAGTTGCATGTCCAAGGTTAAACATCTAGTAAGTTATAGAGTCTGGATCAAATCTGGTGTATCTGACAGCAGAGTCCAAGCTGTCAGTTAACAGTGCTACTTTCCCTCCAAGCTCAGAAAAAACTAGAAGTGCTGTTGATGAACCCTCTTCAAAAGGATTTGATTTCTACATTCTCTACATACTGTTCAGCTCAAATACTGAGTAAATGCACTGCCACACACAATTCTAGAGGACATCAGAACCTTCACAGTCCTGATAGACACTGCCAAAGAGCATTGCAGCAACCAGGAGCAATCTAATGAGGAGGAACTTATTTACTGTATCATCCAGAAATGGTCCCCAAGGATGTGGAATGCAGAAACATAGGCAGAATGACCTACCAGGCTCCCAGATACAGGGGAGTCCAAACTGCAGAGTTCCAGGCTTACCCTGATAATTGTGATGTGGGGGTTGCCCTTGAAGTGCCAAGGAAGGCCTGCTAAGCCCCCTTAGGATGTCCTCTGTTTTTGATATTGACTTGTATAAGCTGTTATCTCCATCTTGTGCTTCCCAGACTCCAGAACTGTAAGAAATAAACTCCTGTGGTTTATAAGCCACCAGTATGTGGTATTCTGTTGTAACAGCCTGAACTAAGATACTGCTACTCTGTTAACATTAAAGTGAATTTCCAGAGAAAAGCTGTTCCCTAGAATGTATCCTAGTTTCGGATTATGCTGTCCAGCTTGTCCTCTACTATCATTTCTTTTTTTTTTTTTCAACTTTTATTTTTTTATTTTTTATTTTTTTTTATTAGTTGGAGGCTAATTACTTGACAATATTGTAGTGGGTTTTGTCATACATTGACAAGAATCAGCCATGGTTTTACATGTATTCCCCATCCCGATCCCCCCTCCCACCTCCCTCTCCACCTGATCCCTCTGGGTCTTCCCAGTGCACCAGGTATCTATTATTTCAAGATCAGTAACAGTTGGAATGTTACTGTTCCAAGAAAGAAGACTTCTCCTGCTGAGACCTTGTGGACAGCACTATCAGCTCACTAAGTAGTCTCTGAAGAATTTGCCTTTGACTACTCAACTATGCCCTTTCACCCAGATCAGTTACATAGCAGCTTATCCCCATTATTCCTTCCCATCAAGCCCTCCTACCCTAACTAAAAGTTGGTTAATACCTAAAGATGCCATAGATCACTCAAAAAGACCTGGAAGGTACCCTCTGCAAGGCAGTGAACAATTTAAATGTTGACTCGAGACAGACATCAGAGGAGACCAACCAATGGGTGATACCCCAGATATCACCCATAGGCATTCCCCAGATATATAGACAAATCTGCCATTGACAAAAAGAACCATGCGCTAAGGAATTATTAAGAGTCCTAAAAGCCATCATTGTATTGTTACCCTGGCATCCACTTATTGTTCTATTCCTGCCTCTGGTTATGCCTGAACCAGCATGATCTTACCACCTCCTTCATTGCTCATGCCAGCATTTGCCACCCTGAAATTAGGAACCATCTGTATGGGGCAAAAAGTGACCAGCTATCCTTGATGCCACCTTAACTCCAGTAACCAGTACACTTGGATGGGTATGGGCAAAGGTCATGAGAAATACTTCCCGCTTCAAGGAGGCTCTAATTGCCTCTGGTCCTTTAAATGGGGTGGACCATCTATGACCGTGCCCTAGCGGGTCCACAAAAGCAAGCTGCAAGCCTAATATATTAGCTATTCTAGGAAATCACCCAGGAGTTTTCCCCCCAACCCCGCCCCAACTCTCATCCTATCACTGCCTCATCAGTGATTGGTTTCCTCTCTAGCATCATATTCCTGGTTCTGGCAATTTTTGTCAGCTGCCTTTGGCTTACTTGGATTTGACAGCCATTTGGATTCCACATTTTGTATTTTGGCACTTCTGCATGGTTTAGAACTTTTCTTTCTCCTTTGGCTTTAGAATCCTGCATTTCCTCCAGCAGAGGTGACTCAATCCATGACTTTCAGCACTGCCACTTCTCCGCTAACTAGTATGATCTTTGGGAGGAAGGACTGGAAAGACTTTTAATAAGATATGGAAACATTTTTCAGAATTGGATGAAACAGTCTTTTGAAACAAAATTGAAAGTTATAGTCTAAATAATTAGCAACCTTATAAGCAGATTATTATATCAATAAATTAATTTGGCATGGTGTAGGAATACGTGGGTTTTGAAGTCATCTAATACATCCAGTGTAACCTTGGGAAGATGGATTGCCTGGCTGAAATCCTAAGTTAATAATATTGGGTGAGAATGTGTAGTTTTCCCAGCTGTGAATGGAGATGAGGAGGCAGCCTAGAGATGTATGACAGTGATGACCCTAAGGTTGGCATCATTTTGTCCAGCTTTATTATAATGTGCTATTAGGAAGTTTTTAAAATTGAGGCAGCATTAGTATATAACATTATGTAAGTTTTGTGTGTACAACATTATGTTTGACTTCTTTATGTATTATAGCATACTCACCATCAAAAGTTTAGTTTCCATCTGTCGCCACGTAGCTGATCCCCTTTACTCAGTATAAAATAATAACATCAAATAACATGGGGAATAAAGAGGTGGATTGAAGGACAAAGAAATCACCAAATAGTGGCCCACTGATGATAGCTACCACCATTTCCCAATGTACAAACAGCATGGAAATTGCCATTATATGTAGCATTTTACTAACATGATGTGTTATAATTTTGCAAATTTAGTAATGTTCTATATGTTATTACTTTTTTAAAGTTTTTAAGAGAATTTCGTACATACCTTACTACGCTTATTTACCTCGCTAATTTTTTTCTGTAGCTATATACTTCTACTTATATAGGACAAGTTAATGGAAAGTAAGACTTAAATTAGGGCATGGGTAGATCACATAATGTTACTAGTATTTAAAGAATAAATATTGGGTTGGCAAACTAGTTCATTTGGGTTTTTCCATAAGATGTTGCAGAAAAACCAAAACAAATTTTTTGGCCAAGCCAACAACTGGTAAATTCTATACTGAAAGTACATCAACCCTATATTTATCACAATGCTTCCTTAGATTATAAGCAACATGTACCAGGTAAGTGTTTTTATCCTTTTATTTCTCTATTTAAAAAAAAAGAGTCTCTGTAAAAATAATTCATTTGAAATTCTTTAATTAGGTATACCTTTTATATCCAGCTCAAGTACTGGCATATGTACTCATAAGTATCTCTCTTTCGCTCAGAAATACAGACGTGTCACTGTGGTGCAGCTATCAGAGTCAAGTGCAAAACACCTTGGGTGAAGCATACAAGCTAAAGTGTGGAATGACAGGGAATTATTAAGACGTGCTTTTGAGAAGATCATAGTAGGAGAGAAGCCTGAATCATAAGTGTGAGATTACAACAGAGTGTGATAAGCATAACGATAGGGGCATGTAGAAAGGGCTGTGGGAGCAACAGAACCCTTCCCAAAGGGGCTAGAGGGCATCTAGGGAAAAGGACATTTGAACTACATCTTCAGAAGTCAAAATTCAGCCAGATGTAGACTCAAAATTCTTTCCAAAGGAGAATGCTGGCTAAAGCTCTTCCCCACAGTTCCTCTGATCCGATGACCCACCTAAACATGTTACATGGCTTCTCTGTCGTTACATGATCTCACTGTCTTCCTCTGTGTGTCGCCGCACTGGGGCTTCATGCATTCCAAGGGCATCTCACATGGCAGCCAAGGAAAGAGCGGGAACTGAGGACCGAGGGCCTTGCTCGGGGATGTCGCTGTTATATGGAGCCCTCTTTGCAGTCACATGATCCTGGTTTCCTCCTATAACATGGGAGAGTCTTTCTTTTTAGGATTCAGTGGCTCAACAGGTTTGGAAGGATTTGGTAAGGGGATGCCTCCTTGAGTTCTATTGCTTGGAGAAGACAGGAAATTTAGCAAGTCAAATGGCAAAGGTAAAACCACTGTGGAAGGTTTCTCTGTGGACAAGGATTGAAGGGTGTGCAGGTACCGAAGCTGAGCAGCGGCTGGTGTGCCTGATAGAATCTCGGCTGCCATCCTCAGGGACTCAGAGGCGGCCTTCTCCCCTTCTGCAGCGATCATCTAGACAAGGGATGTGAGGAAAAACAATGTGTGATTTTTCTTCTTCACTCCATGAAGGTTTTAATCCTACTTAGGGTGACTCAACAAACAAGCATTAGTATCTACTATGGGACAGGTGCTGCTAAGCACAGGGGAGCAGACTGTGTTTTTTCTTAAGATCTTGATCTAGGGAGCGAGATATACTATTAATTGTAATGTGCTTCCCAGGTGGTGCCTGGTAAAGGATCCCCCTAAAGTGCAGGAGATGCAAGAGGCTCAGGTTCAAATCCCCTGGAGGAGGAAATGGTAACCTACTCCAGTTATTTTTGCCTGAAAACTTCCATGGACAGAGGAGCCTGGTGGACTACCATCCATGGCGTCACAAAGAGTTCATTGTAACTTGGTGCAGAATTTGTTAAGAGCCATGACAAGTAGAGATGAAGTGTTAGGGAAGTTACTATGTCTGGTGGACCTTGGAAGAGTAGTAGGGTTTTGCCATTTTAGAGGAAAGGTTGGCCAGCATTCTAGGCAAAGACATGCAATTCTGAAAGAATGACTCCCAACTCAGGTTAGCATTTCAGAAGAAAAAGCACGAAAAAGGTCACCACCCGAATGTCCCCTTAAAGTGGGCAAAGGGCACTAGACTCAGAGATCTAGAAGCAGCTCTGCCCAGACGACCACGTTCCTCCCCATCCTCGTTCACCAGCGCTTCAAAGTTATCCATCCTCCTGCTGTCCAAAAATCTACAAGCAATAAATGCTGGAGAGGGTGTGGAGAAATTACACTGTTGGTGGGAATGCAAATTAGTACAGCCACTATGGAAAACAGTGTGGAGATTTCTTAAAAAGCTGGAAATAGAACTGCCATATGACCCAGCAATCCCACTTCTGGGCATACACACCGAGGAAACCAGATCTGAAAGAGACACGTGTACCCCAATGTTCATCGCAGCACTGTTTATAATAGCCAGGACATGGAAGCAACCTAGATGCCCATCAGCAGATGAATGGATGAGGAAGCTGTGGTACATATACACCATGGAATATTACTCAGCCATTAAAAAGAATTCATTTGAATCAGTTCTAATGAGATGGATGAAACTGGAGCCCATTATACAGAGTGAAGTAAGCCAGAAAGATAAAGACCATTACAGTATACTAACACATATATATGGAATTTAGAAAGATGGTAACGATAACTCTATGTGCAAAACAGAAAAAGAGACTCCTATGTATAGAACAGACTTGTGGACTCTGGGAGAAGGCGAGGGTGGGATGTTTCAAGAGAACAGCATTGAAACACGTATATTATCTAGGGTGAAACAGTTCACCAGCCCAGGTTGGGTGCATGAGACAAGTGCTCGGGCCTGGTGCACTGGGAAGACCCAGAGGGATTGGGTGGAGAGGGAGGTGGGAGGGGGGACCGGGATGGGGAATACATGTAAAAAAAAAAAAAAAAAAAAAAAGATACACTATGGTTGTGATAAAAATAAATAAATAAATAAATTAATTAATTAAAAAAAAAAAACAAAAAACAAAGTTATCCATCCTCTTAGGTAGTTATGGGTTTTTCCTTAGCTACTTTCTGTTCTTTAAGGGGAAATCTGCCTCCCCTCCAGCCCTCATTTGCCTCTTCCTGACACCCTTCCCACCCACATCCAATCATCTGGTAGCCACATCTTCTCGCTGGCACACCTGAGCAGAGGCCATGCATAGCACAGCCTCCCCTGGGCTCTAGAGATGAGGGAAGTGTGCTCTGACACGGTTCTTCCTCCAGAGCTTGCACAGAGCTAAGGATCCAAGCCTGGCTGTCATTAACCTAGAGGGGACAGGTGATGGATATCACCCAGGGAGAGATATCAGTGCTAGAGAAGAGGGATGGAATTCAGGGAGATGCATCTAGGGAGAGAGAATGAAGGCAAGACTCGGGGAGGAGGAGGTCACTATTATCAATAGCGTCAGAGAGAGGGTGTAACAGGGAAAAAGATGTTGCACTGGTCAGTTAGGAGGCTGTGAGCATGCCCAAGAAGAACAATTTTAATAGCATGGTGTGTGCACAAGCCAGAATCCCCCCAGCGCCTGGCTGGATAGGTGGGGAGTGAAGGGGCAATGTTCTCCATGAGGAGGCTTTCTTTTGGATTCTCTGGAGCTCCTCTGATGGTCCTCCGCTGTGCGGGATGATGGCCTGCTCAGGGCTGGCTCACCCGCACTTTGGCTTGCCTCTGGGCTTCAGCTTCCACCGCCAATGAGTGCTGCAGCCCGGCCGGCAGGCGCACGTCCTTACTGAAAGAGAAAGCGGGTGGGTAGGTGTGTGCAGCACAACTTTAGCAGCCGGAGCTTTCAGACAGACCTGCCACCTTCTCTACGCTCGGTTCATGATACACAGCGGATTCTGATTTAGCAGTCTGCACCGCCCTAGACCTCTGCACAGACAGTGGGCAGAGAAGAGGGGCTTAAGCATCAGTGCCTCCAATGTGGATTTCTATTATCACTGACGCTGTAGTAGAGCTGTGGTTTTCTCTTTACAAGTAAAGCAGATTTTGTGTTGATGTATTGGGTTGGCCCAGAAGTTTGTTTGGGTTTTTCCATAGCATCTTACAGAAAATGTGAATGAACTTTTTGGCCCACATAACATAATAATTTTCCCACTTAAAGTTTAATCTGAACGCTGGCTATTAAATTTGAATAATGAACAACAGCCTTGAAGAGTCATACTATTAATAACGAGGGAATTCATCTAAGTTGACAAAAGAGAACTGAATCGAAAAGGGTAGAACTGACCAAGTACTTAATGTACTGCATAAAAGATACAAAACTGGATTTTTCCTCCCTGATTGTAACTATAAAAAGTACATAGAAAACAACTTGGCAGTTCCTCAGAAAGTTAAATATGGAGTTACCAGATGATCCAGTAATTTCACACCTACGTACATACACAAGACAAGTGAAAACGTGTTCACATATAAACTTGCACATGAATGTTCATTTCAGCCTGATTCATAAATGCCCCCAAAGTGGAAACAACCGAAATGTCCATCAACTGAGAGCAGATCGACAAAGTGTGGAGTAGCCAGTCACATGATGGAATATTATTCAACTGTAATAAGGAATGAAGTGCTGACTCATGCTACACCACGGAGGAACACTGAAAGCATTATGGTGAGTGAAGGAAGCCAGACACAAAAGGCCACAGATTGTGTGGTTATGTTTATATTAAATTCCTAGAATAGCCAAATCTAGAGAGACAGAGAGGAGTCAGTGGTTGTCAGGGGCTGGGGGCTGAGGCAGAAATGAAGAGTTCCTGCTTAATGGATACAGGCTTCCTTTTGGAGATGATAAAAATATTCTGGAATTAAATGGCAGTGGTGGTTGTGTCACTCTGTGAATACACTAAAAACCACTGAGTTTCAATTTTAAATGGTTAAAAATGATGAGTTTTATGTTATGTGAATTTTACCTTAGAAAATGCTTAAATCCATAGAAAATATGACAGTTATTTACCCAGATGTTTATAGTGGCTGTGTTAGGAGATAATATGTAAATTTTTCTTTCTTCCAAATTTATGCTAATATGGCTACAGTACTCATTCAATGAAAATAATTTTTCAAATATAAGTTTTTAAATAAAATAAAATCAAATAAAAAAATAAAATAAAATAAACACTTGATATTTCTAAAAAAATAAATAAAATCAAAATAGTTCTCTTTATCATATTGTCCTTCCTGGTTAACTTCCTACCCACATTTCTGTTCTCTCCACTTTGATTCCCCAAACACAGGTCACTGCATCCAAGGCAACCTGTGGGGGGAAGAGTTGAGACATCAGTGAGAACCTCTCGGTGCACCGATGGCCACTGCATCAGGGGCTGAGAAAGCACGTTTCTTCTGAAAGGACATTATGTCCTTCCCTTTTTCATTTTAACATTATAGTTAGTTAGTTCAGTCTCTCAGTCGTGTCCGACTCTTTGCGACCCCATGAATTGCAGCACACCAGGCCTCCCTGTCCATCACAAACTCCCAGAGTTTACTCAAACTCATGTCCATCGAGTTGGTGATGCCATCCAGCCATCTCATCCTCTGTCATCCCCTTCTCCTCCTGCCCCCAATCCCTCCCATCATCAGGGTCTTTCCCAATGAGTCAACTCTTTGCAGGAGGTGGCCAAAGTATTGGAGTTTCAGCTTCAGCATCAGTCCTTAACATTATAAGGCCTGGCAAAAAAACTGTTTAGTTTGCACAGTGCCACTCAACAAATACTTGTGGAATTAAAGATGGTATGGTAGGCTGACTAATGGCTCCTAAAGACATCCTTGGAACCTGTGAATGTTACCCTAAAAGAAACTCTGCAGATGCAATTTAAGTTCAAGGCTCTTAAAATGAAGGGCTTATCCTGGATCTTCCCAGTGGGCCCAAAAAGCAACTGCAAGGGTCCTTATAAGAGAGAAGCATGGTTGGGGTGGGGGACATCTGGCTACAGAAGAGGAGAAGGTGATGTGATGATGCAAGCAGAGGTTGGAGTGCTGTGATTTGAAGATGGAGGAAGGGGCCATGATCTAAAGAATGCAGGCGGCCACCCAAAGCTGAAAAGGGCAAGGAAATGGATTCTCCTCTCCAAACCTCCAGAAGGAACCAGCCCTGCTAACACCTTGACTCTGGCCCAGCGAGACGTGTTTTGGACTTCTGGCCTTGAAACCATAAGACAAATTTGGTGGTGATTTGTGGTAATTTGTTACAAAAGCTAAAAGAAATAATAGAGATGGTATGTTTGTTAAATTTGCTCTAAAATACACTTACTATTGGGGCTTCCCAGGTGGCGCTAGTGGTAAAGAACTCGCCAGCCAATGCAGAGATGTAAGAGATGTAGGTTCGATCCCTGCATCAGGAAGATCCCCTGGAGAAGGGAATGGCAACCCACTCTAGTATTTTTGCCTGGAGAATCCCATGGACAGAGGAGCCTGGCAGGCTACAGTCCATAGGGTCGCAAAGAGTTGGACACGACTGAAGCAACTTAGCACATAGCACGTTTGTTAAATTTGTTCTAAAATGCATTTGTTAGGGAACCAGTATTTTTAGTCTCTCTCTCATAGGAAATTCTCTTCCATATAATATTCATTTACAGGAGCTTTCACTTCCTGTTGGTGGCACCCATCTCCCCTACCTCACCATCCCAGGAGTAGGAAGAAAATGAACTGTGGGTTCTGGAAAGGAGGGGCAGGCATGGAGCAATAGGTGGGCCATACTCTTTTTCCTTTTTAACTTATTTCTGATGATTTCTTGGGGACTAGATAGTTAGCTTAGTACACTGGGAACCCTGAGAAGACTAATTTGAGGGGTTGATGAGAGGAAGAAATGTTGAAAAAGACTTCACAGAGGAGGTTGCATCTTAAAGAACAATACACTCTTGCCTGTGGGGAACAGAGAAGTATTTGGTGCAGTACTGTGCTGTGCTTAGTCACTCAGCCACGTCCGACTCTGCGAGGAACAGCCCAAGAGGAGGCATGGAATCACAGATACACTGAACGCTGGAGAAACACTCACCTAGATTGTCAGACACACCAGAGGGAAGACGCCAAAGGTGAGGCTACAACAGTTGGGTCATTTATTCACTCATCCAAAAACCCAGTGTCTGACTGCTGTATAAGAGCCCAGAACCAAGTATTGAGGACAAAAAGATGAATAAAATATGACCCCTGACAGAATGGAGTCCAAGGTCTGGGAAAACAGATGTGTAAATACGTAAATTATAATTCTGCATAACAAGGGCAAGCTTGAATGTCAAGTGTCTGGACCTTGTCCATTATCCCTTGAGGACGGATGAACAGAAAGAGAGGGTTGAAGGGAGGATACAGGGGAGCACACGAGAGTGGTTTTTAAATTCCAGAGCAGCAGCTTCCCTGTGTCTTCTTGTTCTAACTCTCTCTTTTCAGCTTCTCTTATTTCCTGAATTCTTCCATTTTCACTAGGATGCTAATTGCAGTTTTATCAGTGATGAATTGGACAAGCCACAAACATTCGGACACCTCATTGTCTCAGCTGTGTCTGCCTAGGCCTCATCAAGAATAATCATTATCAGTGCCTTCGATCCTTTGTTGCTTCTGTTGGGGGTCTTGCTTTAGCTAGACTTGATCATAACCTCCTAACTCAGTTCAGGGCCTGGCCGCCTCTTGGCCTCAGTGACAGCCTTCATCGCTGATGGTAACTGCCACTTGACTGGCTGGCTACCTAGAATGCTGCTCTGTTCTCATCTCTCCTCTGAACACCTGTCAGCTTGTCTTGGTAAGAATCGCAGACACCCACCCTGACTGTGAGCGAAGTTGCTGAGCTTGCTCTCTGCAGGGCTAGATGCTGCTGCTCGTGAGGCAGTTCTTGTTTTCCTCTTTTCACCCCAACTCAATCAAATCTGGATCATTGATTAATTAACCACTTGAAGGTCTGTGGTATTTTGCCTCCTTTAACCTGATAAAGTTTTTCAGTCTTTATCATTATTTAACTTTTGTTTCCCCAACTAGACTGTAAGGTCCCCAGATTCATTCCTTATCATCTTTTTATCCCACCGACCCCTCCTTCCAGCCACTGCGGGAGGGTGAGAAGAAAAAGTGTCACAATGACTGACTATCGAACAGATGGTTGACTAGGACCGGTTCAGGGTCTAATTGGCAGCCTCTTAACTGTCAGCTCCTTTTGGGACTGTACCTTTAACAGTGAATGCATGGCACACGGAAGATTCAGTAAATGGTCAATGAAGAAAGGAATAAGGGAAGGAGCCAAGATGGCGGAGGAATAGGACGGGGAGACCACTTTATCTCCTACAAATTCATCGAAAGAACATTTGAATGCTGAGCAAATTTCACAAAACAACTTCTGATCGCTAGCAGAGGACATCAGGCGCCCAGAAAAGCAGCCCATTGTCTTCGAAGGGAGGTAGGACAAAATATAAAAGATAAAAAGGGAGTCAAAAGAGCTACGGACGGAGACCCGTCCCGGGAAGGGAGTCTTAATAGAGGAAGTTTCCAATCACCAGGAAACCCTCGCACTGGCGGGACTGGGGGAAGTTTTCGGCAATCTAACTGGGAGGAAAAATTAAACAAGGCCCACAGATTACGTGCCTAAAAGCAACTTCCAGCAGAAAGGTACCCCAGACGCCCGTACCCGCCAGCAACAAGCGGGGGCGGGACGGAGAGGAGCGGGCGGCATTGCTTAGGGTAAGGACTGGCCCGAAGACCCTGAGAGCAATCGGAGGGAGCTTTTTTAAACTGTGGGATAGCAAGGGTCAAAATTAACAGGCCCGAACACGCTGCCGGCGGTTCGCAAAACAAAGGGACTGAGAAAGTCCAGAGACGAGCCGGCCCATCCCTGCTGGAGGTAGGAGGCAGGGGGGAGGGGGAAAAGGGCAAACTCAGCCCCTGAGAAGCCACCCCCTCCCACACTGCAAACAGGCCCCCGGTTCCTATCTAAAGACTTCCTGAGACCCGACTGGTGGCGCGCGCTGGGGCCGCGGAGGGAAAAAGCGCGCCGTACCCGGGGAGATTGCGCCCAACCCTCTGGCTGCATGAGCTGCCCGCCGTGGAGGGAAAAGGCGCGCCGCACCCGGGGAGAGTACGCCCAAGCCTCTGGCTGCCTGAGCTGCCCGCCGCGGAGGGAAAAGGCGCGCCACATCCGGGGAGAGTGCGCCCAAGCCTCTGGCTGCCTGAGCTGCCCGCCGCGGAGGGAAAAGGCACGCCGCACCCGGGGAGAGTGCGCCCAAGCCTCTGGCTGCCTGAACCGCTCAGGCCGGGGAAGGCACAAAACGCAGGCGCAACCGAATCTGCGCTTTGGTGGAGTACCCGAAAACTGGACGCACTCAACGCCGGGCCCGCTCCATATAGAGCAGCCGGGAGCCTGAGCAGTGTAGACGGGGAAAGCACTGACACCCGTGAGCGGGGCAAACCCAGTGTGGCCGGAACACGGTGAGTGCTGTCCACACAGAGCGGTATCTGTCTGCAGCGCCCCGCCCTCCCCGTAGCAGGACTGAACTGAACTAGCGAACCTAAATAAGAGATCACCTCCGCCCGCCTGTGTCAGGGCGGAAATTAGACACCGAAGAGACGGCAAACAGAAGCCAAATAAACAAAGGGAACTGCTTCAGAAAGGACTGGTGCAACAGATTAAAATCCCTGAAGGTGACACCGACTACACCGGAAGGGGCCTACAGATATCGAGAAGTGTAAGCTGGAAAGAGGAGCTATCTGAAATTGAACTGAACCTACGCTGACTGCAACAACTCCAGAGAAATTCCTAGATATATAGATATATTTTTTTTAATATAAAAAAAAAACTTATTTTTTCTATCCTTTTTTTAATTTTTTTTTATTTTTTCTCTTTTATTTTCTTTTAAAATTCCCTATTACTCCCCCATTACTCCTCAACTTTCATTTTCATATATTTTTACGATTTTTCAATTAGGGAAAAAAAATTTTTTTTTTCTTTTTTTTTCTTTTTCTTGTTTTTCTCTCCTATTTCCTTTTAAAGTCCTCTAATACTCCTCTATTATTCCTTAATTTTCATTTTCATTTTACTATAACCTTGCCAAAAAAAAAAAAGAGAGAGAGAAAAACCCTATTTTTAAATCAAACTTCATATACATTTCTAAATTTTTTTGTGTTTTTGTTTTTAAATATTGTATTTCAAAGAGTCTAACCTCTACACTAGATTTTTAATCTTTGTTTTTCAGTAGTATGTGATATAAATTTTGGTCACTTAAGAATCCAATATTCAGTTCCCATTTCTATTCAGGAGTGTGGTGATTACTCTCCCACTTTTGA